GTTTCGAAAGAATTTTTTCTTTCGTGTAATTCAATGTTTATATGAAAGTAGCTGTTTCAGGAGGACTTTCTTTCAGTTTGTGTCTGAAAGTTACTTCTTTGCATGATCTACACATCCATATATAGAGCTACTTATTTTCAAATTGATTACTTTCTTTGGAAGATTCCCTCATCCTTTTTTTTGTATCAAGATGGAGTAGTAGAAAGCCAAAAACTTTCTTTTCCAAAAATTAATTACTCCTAGAAATATAACCCCTTCAATTCATATAAATAATACTTTTATGAAACATTAATTTAAATTGTTTAACAATTTAACTTCCATTACCTAACCTTTGATCTTGGTAGCACTCCTTGGCTAAGCTCAAAAAGGTCTCAGCAAGACCCTTTAAAGCAGGAACATATTGACCATTTGATAGAAGAATTTCCTCAAATTCACTCTTGGCTTCCTTATAAAGGCCTAGAGTTTTTTTGATATTTGCTATCTGTAACGAAGGGTACAGAGGGTTACTGGTGAACTCTACAGCCTTCTGGTAGCATTTCAGAGCAGAGGTGTAGGAGCCTCTCGCGAAATAGGCATCACCCAAAGTTTGCCAGCATAAGGTATTGTTTGGTTCAATTCTCACTAAAGGTTGGAGGTTATCTATTGCAGAGGAATAGTTTTCTTGTTCCAAGTAGCTGAGGCCAAGCTGAAGCCAGGCCCAAGAAGTTCTAGGGGTTATCGAACCTGTATACAAAAAAATATTTTTTTAGTTTGAATAGAATAACATAACATTAGTAACTGGACAATATTATTATATATTCAATTTCAATATTAAAACTATTTCTCAAGTAAGAATTCCGATATTTTTGTCAGCCTTTGAAACTTCGATAATTTTTTTTTCAAGGAAAATTTGAATCTGTCAGGTAGATTTTATTTTCAATCAGATAATCAGTTTTCAGTTTTGGAATTCCTTCAGATTTAATCAGATAATAATAATAATAAATCGACTTCATTCATCAAAAATAAATTAGATGAACAGGCGGATTATCAGCATAAGCTGTTTTTCAAATCAACCTTACAAAAATATACAATAAAAAATATAATAATAACAAGTATAGAATAGAAGATAAATCAACCAATACAACAATAAACACAATAATAAAAGCTTGATTAAAATGAATAATAATAAGGGTTTTGCAAAAATTGACATACAGAGCACCAATTACCAGGATTTAAGCAGAAGTTTCAAGCGTTTTTTAAATGTCATTATCGTGTAAAGTCTGAAGTCACTGGGCAACTTATTATACAGCTTAGCGGAAATATAGGAGAAACTTCGAGTAAAAAGTGCCGAGTTGTGTTTGGGAATGACCAAGACAGATCCATTTCGAGTATCATAGTTGTTATTCTGGGAAAAACTAACAAGTCTATTATATATATATTAAGGTTTATTTGTTAATCGTAATCTATGTGTATTTGTGAGAATGTGTAGAGTGCGTAGTTTTTCAAGTCTTAACCATCTGGAGTCATCAAACCTACTACTGATGTGATCAAATTTATGTATACCGAAGGAAAATCTCAAACAAGAATTTTGAATTTTTTGGAGGCGAAGAGAGTCGTATTGAGTAAGTGCAGGTCCATATATGCAATCGCAATAAGATAATTTAGAGAAAATTAAAGTTTCTAACAGTGTTTTTATTTAAATATACCAAGTGAGGAAAAATTATGGAAATTCCTAGAAATTCTATGGGTCTAGTTTAATAAAAAATCTAATCTAATCTAATGGTTGAATTAGATTTAAACTTGATTCTCATTTTCAATGTCTTTGTTTTTCAATGTGAACCCCTATTTTAGATACCAAAATTGGTAAGAGCCAAACATGTTACTAGAGGTCAAATAAAGTTTTATTGAAAAGTTCATATCATTTATTTTTCAGGATTTAATGTCCTCTTGACTTTTTTAAATCAAACTATTTGTGGCTACTTTGATGGTACATTGATAAAAATAATTAGAACTAAAGCAAAATTTTGGTGTAAATACAAAAGAAACAGCGACATTCACGCTTTTCACGAATTCAAACATCTTCGGGCAGAAATCAAGAGACCCATTGGAATAGCTTATATAAAAAATTCAATCAGAAAAGTGAGAGCGAGATTATTCGTAACCCCAATACCCCAAATGGAATCGGAGATAAAATGTTACATGAAGGCAAGCTACTTGATAATCCCTCAGATATTCTTGATGGTTTTGCAGATTTCTTCAGTGGTTCTTATATAGTGTCAACATTAAGTGACCATGCGAACAACAGTAGTGATATTCCCAGCTTAGCAATCAAAAACTTTAGTATTGAAGATGTTTATTATACCCTAAAAAAATTAAAGCCTAAATTTACTGCGGGACATGATCATATTCCAGCATTCATCATTAAAGATTGTACCTCAGCTCTGGTTGAACCACTAACAACTCTTATCAATATATGCCTGATAACATTAACTGTATGCTTCTTGAGAAGACAATTTACTGCCATGTTAGCAACACTATTAGCCGCAATCAACACTGTTTCATGAAAAGACGTTCAACCATCACCGATTTTGTAACAATCACTCAATGTATTGCAGAGGGTATTGATTGTCAGTCTCAGACTGATGTCAGCTACACTGATTTTTCTAAAGCGTTCGACAGACTTGACCATAGTATCCTGCTCAACAAGCTTTAGACTTTTTGGTTATCCAATGACTTAATTACTCTCTTCAAATCATATTTTTACAACCATTAGCAGTATATCCAACTCAATGGCCTCAAGTCTATCAAATATATAGCCACATCTGGTGTACCACATAGAAATTGATTTGAAAATGTCAACAGGAAAAAAATCTTAACATGTGAATGATATGAGTTTATTAATGAATACAATTTCAAAAGATTTCTAGCTTTTTTATACTTGTTGAAGTACTTTTACAAGTATTGGTGAGTTTCATGAAGTCCTATTAAATTTGAGCATTCAATTGAACCAATAGAATCCTCATTGAAAGTTACCTGGGAATGACCTTCTGTTTCATGGTAAATTCGTGACATTTCTAGTATTTTTCAAACTTTTTTGTCACTCTGCGTATTGAAAGTTTTGAACCAAACCTTGTTGAAAAAATAATTACCTGTGGCTAAGCTTTGGAAAATATTATGAGATGCTTCGAAATTGTTCTGTCTTTCATATATTTTACTCAACTTTATTCCTATTTCAGGATATTTGGGATTGTGTATTGAAACTTTTGAACACACCTTCTTAAAAAAATAATTACCTGTGGCTAAGCTTTGGAGAAGATTATGAGATGCTTCGAAATTGTTCTGTCTTCGATATATTTTGCTTAACTTTATTCCTATTTCAGGATATTTGGGATTGATCTTGAATGCTCTTTCATAACATCTTCTTGCTTTATCTAAATCCTCAAATTTTTCATAGTACTGGCCCAGGTTAATGAAGCAGTTGAAATTATTAGGATCAGCTTTTGCTGCTCTCAGATAGGGGGTTAAACATTTGGAAAATTCCCCGAGACTCCAGTACACTAGACCTATCTCTAACCACCATTCTGGCAAATCAGGTGTATTCTCTTCAAGAATACTCAATGATTGTTGAAAACATTTTTGCTGGTGGTATAATTTGGCAAGAAGAAGTCTCGCCAACTCTTCATTATACTCTTTGAACTTGGAAATTAGCAGATTAGCTTCTTCAAAATTTCCCAAGCGAATTAATGCTGTAATTACGTATTTCAAGTTTTCTTTTTGAGAATTCTGGTCATCCATATTCTTGTAAAACTGTGACACTTTCAGCAGATCTTCTTCGTTAGGAGAGTTTGATAGCAATTTTAAAAACAAGGTGTCCATTATATTTTTCAAAATTTGGTTAGAATAATTTGTTGATTTCATTAATTTATCACCAGATGAATAAGAGTCCCAAGCATCTTCAAATAACCCTAAGTAAAGATTGATTTTTGTTAAAAGAACCCAAGCATGAATTAATCCAGATCGCTGAGTGCAAACTTCTACAATAGTATTTTTTGCTTCTAATAATTTGTTCTCATTTAGCAGTACAATACTTGAGGTGAATAATCCAATTGCATTTTTTGGTTCTATTTTCAATAGACATGGGAAATAGCACTTTATTTTTTCATAATATGTCTTGGATAAGTCAGAATCTTCCACAAACCATTGATTATAAATTTTACACATCCAAATGAGAGGAATTATATCTGTTTCAGATAAGCTGTGCAAATTCTCTGCATGTTTAAAAACTTCTTCGTTTTTATCCTGTTTATAAAGTGAATTCAGAAAAACAGAGAAAATGTTTGTATTTAAAAACTTTTTTTCTGAGATTAAACTACCAAAAATTTCCTCAAATACTAGCTGAACACTATTAGGTACTTTTTGAAGGCTATTATATAGATCAACTAATATTTCATAAATGATACCATTATTTTCTTTTAATTTGCACCCACATTCATAGATGACTTTTGAGATTTCATTAATATCTCCAAACTCTTGTATTTTCGAAAGTTTGTTGCAATATTCAATTACTTTTTTGGTGTCTGTTTCTAATCGTATTGCAGATATATAAGGTTGCACCAGTTTTTTCTTTGCAACTTCATCATCCTCCAGTTTTTCATAATACTTTATCAAACCGTTCCACGCCAATGGATTTGAAGGGTTCATTTCAATTGCTTTCTGAAATGCTTTTATGGCTTGCTCTGCTGGGCCTACTTCTTGCAAAGAAAGGCCTAAAAATACCATAGCCATGTAGTTAGACTTATCCTCTCTCAAAATAGTCTTAGATAATTTTAAAGAGAGAACATAGTCCTTGTTTTTAATTGCTTCTCGACACTCCTTCAGTAGTGTCTTGATATCCTTCATCTTTTATAATTCCGGCGTTAATTTTTCAGAATTTCACACAAAAATTGGTCAATACAATGTAGTAGTTCAGTGAGACAATATTAAAATAGAAATATATTCTTATGAATAATTTATGCTAACATCCTAAGATTAGATTATCAAGTCTGAGCTCATATCTGTTCAAGTATAAAAACACAGAAAGTCAAATAAAATATTTCACTTTTGAATTTAAAAACAATTTAACCATAACCTAAATTTTTCTCTCTTTCTCTCTAATTATATGGACGTTGCTTGTTGCTTCCCACTCGGGCGCATTTGTCCAGGCTCCTCCTATCAAATTGACATCAATTTGATAGAAGCTTCGTCGGGAGGGGCGCAGCTGTCTTGCTCGAAACAATGCTGCCACCCCTTTTTTGTCACACTTTTTACAATAAAAAAAAACAATGTGTTTTTTAAATGTACTACGTATATCTTATCCGTTATCTAATTTTGTGTCGATAATTTCAGGTTGTGGCAATGGTAGCATGCCATTTAGATGAGCTTCACAAGGTGGTGACAGGACGAATAAAAATTCATTAATAGTTTTGTTAGACTTATTGATACGAAAACCACTTTTTGGATGAACTATTGGCTTCGATCTGAAGTCATCGAAAACAGTTGCAAAGAAGTATTTTCAGTGTTAACATAATGCCTTTGGTAGCACTAGTTCTATATTCTGAAGAACAATTGAATTTCCTCTGAAAAGCATTTGCGCGGTGTGCTAATTTTTCAGACATTTTTTTAAACGGTAAAACTAGATTTGATAATGAAGGTTCAGGTTTTCTCTTTTCGTCCGTCCACCGACGTGACGATGTTTTTTCGGTTTGATGACTCGAGAAATTTCCAAGTTTAGCGCGGTCTCTCTCATCTTGTGTTTGTAGACCTTTTGCTGAAAAAATTCTTTTATGTTTATTTTGTAGTAAATGTTTAAGAGGTAGCAAAAACGTATGTGATTTTCTGGAACTTCAACTAGCGTTTCTTTTTATGACTAATAACCAGTCCGTGCAAAGCTTTATTGTTGAATCATCTGAAAATGGAACTTTTAACGGGTGACGATCAACTGTATTGCCAAATATGCACGAAACTAACTGACTATTATAAGAAAACAAGTATAGCTGAGGCACCAGTCAACCTAATAATGACACTGATGATCTTCAAACATGACTCAACCTCTGACGGAAACACCAAACTCTTACGAAAGTTCGAAATAGATGAACACTTCAATCTATCAGACCACTTTTATAATCTTCATGCCGTCATTGTTCACTGCGGTTCTGGCGTTGAATCTGGTTTAAGTTTGATGATAGTCGTGTCACTAAGTGTTCTGGTGATGTCTTGAATTTATTGGAGCCTCTGGAGATACCCTACGTTTTGTTTTATGAAAGAGAGGACATTGGCAGATCAATATCTTCAGATGATGTGGTGCTGCAGGTTTTTCCGGGTTTTCCTGTAGCTGAAAAAGCAAATGCGCCACTGGAATCAATGAAGTCGCCCCAGAGCGCCAATTAATTTTTGTTGTTGTTTCTTAATTTCATGATTTGTACTACTTTCTTCTTTACTAGGTTAGGTCCTAAGTGAGTGGGTATATTCGACCCTCCACCACAACCCACAAGGGTTTATTGTGGCTCACACCTATTCACACTCGACCAAATAAACCCAACTTTTTAACGAAGTGATCTCTAAGGTCAGACGGGGCAGACATCTTCTCTGTAGACTCAGCGTCAGAAATAATTTTTGAGTTTACTCCGTCCATGAAAGTTCCACGAGTATCTAGGGAAAGAAGGTCAATCACAGCAGAGCCCCGCATTATCGTGATGAGGCGATGCTACGACGAGAGGGCACCCGGTATTTCGAAGGTTCCGTTAGAGACAGCTGATAGGCTCAGTGTCATTCATCTCTCGGCACGGATACACACACCTTAAGAGTAAGCCATCGTTAAGATGCCATTCAGTTAGGGAATAACAGAACCACAAGTGATTCTCTCATTCCCGTATGCAGCGGGGTTACGTGGAAGCAGGCATCCGATGTCCTGTTTGCTCAACCCCTACATCCCAAGACAATGCACTTGCCAAAAACAGCATGCACAGTGGTTCATGCAGTGAAAGATGAACAAGACAGCCACCCCACCTCTTCTTTACTATTATATAGTAGACTCCTAGACAAAATGTAATTGAATGGGTAGGGTGAAAATAGTACTTCACAATTTACATTACACTAATATTTGATGCTAAAAGCATTTTCCATACACTGTGTCTCCTTCTGAGCGAGTTATTGAAATTAATTCAACTTGAAAATGTAACAACAAAAATGAAACCACTGAAGACGTAGGTACCTAATAAGATTCTATAAACGCTTCAACTACGACGCTGATATTTAACCCTAGTTTTATATTATTATTAGTGGGCGTGGCTTGTCTTCTCTTGATTGGATTACCTGACCTAGTTTGTGTACCTCTGAGGACAGGTAGCCAGATTTTATTGATGTTCATTGCCTCTTATTTTCTAATGAAATTATTCCTGTGTTTTTGAAATTCTATTGCTTCTGTGGATAGTAATTACTCTATGAGCACTATTACTACACATATTGAGAGAACTTTTGTTTTAAATGGGCAAGAAAACCTTCTGTTGTATATTCATCTTTCTTTAAGGTCATTTCATAGTTCACATAACAGATTATTCGAAAATTACAAAAGATGAAAATGTTCAATTCAGTCTGTTGGTATTTACAGATTTAGAAATCTCGTATCAAAAATCGCAAAAGTTTTGAATTTACCCAATCCTGAAAGTTACACAGGCCATAACATTCATCGAACTTGATATAAACAAGAATTATAATGTTTCGAAAGCATCTATCTTCTGTTCGAATTCCAATATTTAATACAAATAAAATCAAAATGTTCGAAATTTTGTTCCAGTAAGAAATGTGTCTCATCTAATATAGCAAAAATTTTGGAAAAAATTATTGAAATAAGATTAACTGGATTCAACTTTCTGTCAGAACAGCAGTACGGATTCAGGAAGGGGAGGTCGACATGGATGCTATATTACCTGACCTTGTTTGTGTACCAGTCCTTAACATCAGAAATTTACAAATCGTTGGATTCATCAAAACCTGCATTATGTATCTTTGTTGACGTATCGAACGCGTTCGATACTGTTTGCCATAAAACACTCCTCGGGAAATTAGAAAACATCGGCATACGGGGCAGAGCATATGAAATGTTTTATTCCTACTTGAATAATCGAAGACAAATAGTTGACATCGATGGATAAAAAGTAGTCCGAGAACAATTACTTGCGGAGTTCCGCAAGGTACGGTCTTGGGTCCAATACTATTCATTANCAAGCATCGATACCTAATTCAAAAGCTCGTCAACTCATAGATAGTTACCCTCCCAGTGCAGAAAATTACCCAAAAGTAATTGAAAGCTCGAAGAAAAGATTTGGAAGGAAAGATCTTCTTGTAGAATTCTACGTGGGTGAGTTGTTGAAATTAATACTGAACAATTTATCGACTCAAAATAACCTTAGCATCCTTTATGACTAAATGGAATCTCAATTGCGAGCTTTAGAGACCCTCGATGTAACTTCAGATACTTGTGCAGCCATATTATATTCTTTAGTGGAGTCTTGTCTCCCAGAATACCTTATATGACAACGTATGGCAACGAAGCAGTCTTTACGACAGTGACTCTACACTCAAAGATCGCCTAGAAGAAACTTCTTGGAAAAGCCTGTTGTTATGTCTGCTTGAATTATGGACATATTTCCAAGAAATGTCGTGTGTCCCTAACTTGCACTCTTCGCGGTGGTAAACATCATGCCATCATGTGCCCCAAGTCCGAAGATTCAGACTCAAAAGCGAGTGTTATGAGTACGAGTGTAGAAAACAGTCTATCAAACAGTTCATATTCCGAAGTTTTTCTACAGACATTAGTCGTCAATTTGAATGGATTCGA